AATGGTAAAGCCCTCGACACACACACCACCTGAAGCACCTCAGGCTGCTGGATTATGAGCTTCTCCCATGTGTCAGCCATGGTGCTAAGAGCTTTTACTCCCCAGCGCCTGCCCGTTCTGAAGACTGTCCTCTCACCAACACGTGCCTCCGCTAAGATCACTGCACGCAGCGCGCCCCCGCCCCGCCCTAAGTCCACCAGCTCCACCAGGGCCTTCCTTGCTCACCATGCATCCCCAGGCCCGTTGCAGAGTGCACCTCCACTGAACGAACAAATGACTGTTACTGCAGTGAAGTACCTGTCCTTGTCCAATCCCTCTACTTGTAGGAAGAGATGAACCAGGGAGCCCAAGGGGCACGCAGGAAATGAGGATCACAAGGCACAGTGCTTGGCCCTTAGTGCAGGATGGGCTCGTTCCCTTGCTGGTACACAGAGGACCATGGCCTCTGTGGCCCTACTACCTGTTCTTGCCTTTTCCTTCTCCAGGCTTCCTGCACGCTTGCTGGCTGCCATGGCAGGCCCTTGCCGGTCTATGACGTGACATCTTCCTGGAGATGCTTTTTGGAGGCTGCAGACAATGCCTAACTTCTAGCCACTTTTCTAATGAAAATTGACTCCAGCCGGTTGTCACTTGGAGGCCACATGGCAGTGCTCTAAGAGGGTCCGGACAACCAGATTCTAGTCCTTCCCATAACTTGATGGATGGTTTTGGACAAATTTCCTCACTTCAAGGCCCGTCTCTCCCTCCTCGACTTTTGCATTAGCTTTTTCGAAGGAAGTACCCAGACAGGGTCATCTCTGAGCAGCCTGGAGACCAGGGCCCACCCATTCTGGGGTGATGGGCGATGAAGACGGTCCGCCAAGGACACACAACGGAAGAAGGAGCTTTCCCAGAGGAATGGGTTGGATCAGGAAGGACTTTTGATGAACCCAGTCTTTAAGAAGTTAAGGGGCAGAGAGCAGAATCCTGCTTGGCTTCTATGTAGCCTCGGAAGTCAAGAACAGGAGTGAAAGGGTCCTGATCAACTCCGGAGGCCCTGACAACCCCTGCGTTGATCAGCCTGGCTTATTCTATCACGTGACTGTCAAGTTCTTAGTCATTTAACATATAGGTGTTAAACAGATATAGGCCTTTTGACTCAGGAGCCCCCAAAACAGAATGGGTACCTACTGTGCCATTGGCAGCACGTGCTGCCAGAGCAGGTACCAGGAAGCAGGGCCTCTCTTGCTTTGTTGCTGAGAAGGCAAAGGTTCGCAGGGGAGGTGAGAAGTTCAGGCCATCCTCACTTTTCCAGGCCTTCCGGCCGACCTGGCAATTACACAGCCTGAGAACACCCTCACGTCTGCCCCGGCCACCTCTCGACCTTCTCTAAGGTGCACATCCTTGCAACCTTGTTCTGGTTCAGTTCGCTGAGCCCGGGGTGCTTGCTCGGCACCAAAGCTCCTGCCACTGAGACAGCGGTACAGATGATCACAGTGACAGCCGCTGGGTCCTCTAGGCAGGGAGGCTGACTGTGGCGCACAGCCAGATGATAAACTATATCCACGGTGCACGGCAGTGCTAATTAGCTGCTGAGGGGCCTCTGTGGGTGTTCACTCAGAGCGCGGTCCTGACACTCCAGGTCGCAGCTCCCACTGGCCTGACTCGAGGCGCATGGAAGGCTCTCCACTGTCCTCCTGGCTGCTTCCTGAGATGGGGACACTGCTGGCACACACAGGTATGTCCAAGGTTTTCCACGCAGGACTGAACGGAGACTGAAGGAAGGGAAGCAGATTGGGAGGACATGTGACAGGGAACTGAGTGGAGTAAGGCAAGATGTGTGCGCGTCAACATACCTGTTCGGGGCCACCAGGTAGTGCAGAGCTAGCAAGGTGACAGGAACAAAGATGGAAGACGCTATTATGTCAGTCAAGAAGGCACAGCCTTCGGCAAGTCAGCCACCCTCACTGGGCCAAAGCACTGTGTTCGGGGACATGCACAGGAAAGTACGCGGTGGCCCCTCAGGGCTGCGAAGCAGAGTCATCCTTCTCCACTGGAGCGATTTGACCCCCCACCCCCTGCCTCACCCTGGAGGACATTTGATGTCTGCAGACATTTTCCCAAAGCATCTAGCACAGTGACTGGCATCTAGTAGGCACTCAGTAAATTAAAAAGAGAAAAGCAGAATAAAAGTAAAAAAAAAAAAAAAAAAAAAAAGCCCACTCCTTCTCTGGCCTGTTTCCTCCACATCTCAAGGCTGCCTTTTCGTCTAGAATTTCTGTTAGGTTTTACACAGACAGAGGGCCATGGTGTTAGCAGAGGCCATTTTGCAAGTACCTTTGAGGGATCAGGACTAAGCTGAGGATAGACAGCGGGCAAAAGACTGGGAAGCTTTGCCAAATATGAAGGGGAAGCCTCCCAGTGCCATGTAGGAGTCCCAGCTTTTTGTCCCTGTGGGACAGGATCCAGGGTGGCAGCAGCCCCAGGAACTCTGCCCTCGGGCACCTGAGACCATAGGAAGTCAGCCTTCCCAAGCAGTCACACCAGCTGTGGATGCTCACCCTGCAGAAGCCAGGCTCAGAAAGTGGGCCGCTCGCTAGTGGCTGCGGGGTGGGGCAGCGAAGCCAGGTGCTGCACCGAGTGCTCTCGTCCCTGTTCCTCCCCAGCCCTTCTGCTGCTCCCAGCCTTGCGCAAGCTGCTGCAGAGGAACCAAGGGCATGATCCACCCTTGAACTTGCAATCCAACTGAGAAGGCCAGATGTACCCTTGAGGTTTGATGAGAGAATATTTCACGCAGATGTGCAAGCGCTGGAACAGAGGGCAGACGCACTAGGAACTGAGGAGCCGAGGGGCGGAACAGAGCAGGCTGGAGCTCAGGCAGACACGCCAACCCCAGGAGTCGCACATTAGGACCCAGAATCCTCGGCAAGCTTTGGACTACTGTCTCTTCGCAGGCACCTCGGCAGGGACGGAGGGGGCCGAGGCATTCTTGTCCAAACCTCTGTAAGGGGATGAGGAGGCTGGGACCACAGGGGAGTGGCCTCCCAGGCCAGCACTTTCTCATTCCACTGTGTTCCTTCGTTCCCCACCCTCTTTGTCCCTAAGAAGGAAGTGAGATGATCCCACCTTGGCACATGGAGAAACTGGGCCAGGAAGGAGGCCTGGCTCAAGGCTGCAGTGACTTGGAACTTCCCATCCAGACCCTTCTACATACATGTGAGGACAGGGAGGGACTGGGCCTGCTCTGGGGCAGAAGGGGAGAGGGACAGAGGCTGCTTCTCTTGCGGAGAAGGCCCCAGAAGCCCTCGCAGAATTGCTTGGGAACTGGTTCCTCCCTGGCCTCCTCCCTTGTCCCCAGAGTGGTCCCCTCTCCTCATCGATGGTGGTCTCTTCTCAATTTACCCACCTTGTGTCTCACACTTGGTGTCAAGGTGACCACTTGGAGCTGAGGTGTAGCACCACCATGTCCTCCGGTTTCCCATCTGTCCCTCCCTTCCCTTCCAAAACAAGCATGTGTCAAAGTGCCAGGCCTTGGTGCATAAGCAAGCACTTCACAGAAGGTGTTTAATCCTCACAAAAGCTCAGGGAGGGGGTCGGGGTCTAACCTCAGGGTGAACAGAGGAGCCCTGGGAACGGGGTTCATCCCCCCCCCCCAGGCTCTTCTCCAGTGACTGCACTGTGCTGTCCCACTTCCTGTTCCTCAAAGGACCCCTGGCTCACCTCAGTGCAGCCAGGCCCCTAACACCAGCCTCCTCTGGGACATCAGGGCCCCTCCTCCACCTGGGCTTTGCAGAAGGAAAGACACAGGACAAGAGTTTGGTTCAAAAGTGAGAGGCTAAGAGGCTGAGTGGCCTGGTGCGTCCATGGGCTCACGGCAGTGGCCCTGACCCCCAGCACCCTCCCCGAGGGGCCCTGCCCACAGAGCCTGCAGTTCAGCAGTTTCTCCTCCTCAGGCACCCCAGGGTCACACAAGTGGGGTGGGGACAGCGTATGATCTTAGGCAGATCTCTGGCCTGGCATCGTGGCAATTAGGCCCTTTGGAGAGACCGAGGGTGACTTTTGGCAGGGGGCTAAGGCTGGTCTTTGGCTGAAATGTAACTAGAGAAGGGACCTAAGTCCTGGCTGGCGAAGAGGATTAAGGACCATCTCAGGGTGGGGAAAAGGGCAAGTGCCACTGCCCAGCAGGCCCAGCCCCGCATCCCACCGGAATCTACTCCTCAGCCAAGCTCTCTCCCTGCCTTGGGCTGCAAATCAAGGCACGTTAAGGCAGGGGAGAGGCCCCAGGTAAAGGCACTAGAAGAAACCTGGAATGGCTCACAGCAGGCAATAGCCAAGGAGGCCCGGACCCCTGGGGCAGAGAGCTCCCAGCTGGGGCAGAGTGAGGGAGAGGCGGCCTCGGTACAAGGGCTAATCGGTGGTGTCAAGTTTTACCATTGGCGCCCATTCCACTCCGAGGCTCCCACAGGAGCCTGCTGGCACCGACTGAAGGCCGTGGTAGCCAGTGACCTGGCTGAGCCAGCATCTGCGTTCAGGTCAGGAGCTAGAGCAAGGCTGGGTCCCTGGCTCAGAGCCCTGCCTCCTTCCTTTTTATTCCACCAAAGCTGTGGTGGGGGAGCCCAGGGAAGGAGGAGTCGGGCGCCAGGGCTGCCCAGGAGACCCTGTCACACTGTGGGATAAAGACACAGGCTCAGCCCACCTGGGGCCCTGCAGGGCGAGGCTGGCCCAGGGAAGGAAGGGGGTCAGGCACAAAAGAGAGCCGACACTAGTCAAGTTTCCATTTCATGTAAACAAGGGGAGCGACCCCTGCCCAGCCACCAACAGTCTTGCGGAGGTGTACGGTGACCTTCAGGTGCGGCAGCCCCTCACATCTGGGATTCAGGGTCCCTGAGGCCAGGATGGAGGCCGCTGGGCAGGAGGACAGTAAGCGTCCAATGTGCAAACTGGTGCAGAGTTTGACCTGTGTTCTCCACAGGACAGGACAGCGGGGGATCCACAGGTCCTGCCCACCACTGGCATGCAGCTCAGGAAATCACACAATTGCTGGTCTTGGCAGGGCTGGGACTTGTTTTACCTGCAGAGACAAGGGACACAGGCAGGGAAGGGTGTGAGTGAAGTGCTCAGCAGACTCGCCTCCAGCCCTTCTCCCGGCACTGCCCACACCGCAGATTTGGGGCGGGGGTCACTGTCTCCCTCCCGGGACACCGATCTGGGAACATGTCAGTAGGGCCCGCAGGAGAGCAAAAGGAAAGATTCTCCCTGTCGTGGCAGCCACAGCAAGACCGCCACTGGTTGGGACATCAGGGGATCTGCCTTCTGCTGACCTCAGCAGAGGGGCTGAGGGAGAGAATGTAGACCCAAAACCAACAACGGCAGTCTTCAAGGTCTGGTCAAGAGGCAGTTCGCCTGCAGCCTCACAGCCCACGGAGCATACCCAGAGCCATTCTCTCAGCCTATCCTTGGGGAGGCCACGCTCTGAAGGTACCAGGAGCCCCATCTTACAACCAAGGGCAGTGGGGCCACCAGCAACCAGAGCCAGTCGGCTCCAGAACCCGGTTTTCCAAATCCAGTCATAGGTCCCTCCACTAGGCAGGCTGCCTAGGTTGGAGGAGGAAAAGCTGTGCCTCAGTCAGGCCAGCAGGCTGACCACGAGCCAGGCACTGTAGCGGCGACGACATGCTCAGGGAGGCGGTTTTCATGTACAGGATGGAGGGAATGCATGTCATTGAAATGAAGGGGAAAGAAGGCTATGTTCCTCCAGGCCAGAGAAGCCCAGGCCTCCTCTTCCCAGGCCCCTTCCGTACGTTTCTACTCCTTCATAATCCCCAGCTGAGGTCGGTGGCTTCTTTGACTGGATTCCTGCTTTGAGGCAGACGCTGACACCTCTGGGCTGACACCTCCCGGCCTGCCTGTGGTCCCTGATCTCCTGGCCCACTGGCTACCTGTCTCCCAGGCGGGAGCTCTGAGCAGTGCCCTGCCAGCTCTTTCTGCACTGCGAGGGCCGGCTTGTCTCCCTGATGCTCACTCTACCGTCCCATATCACTTTAGCTGGGAATTTAATTAAGGTGGCAGCTGCCTCTTCTCCTGGGCCATGAGCAGGAGAGACATTAGACAGGCCCAAGTGGGGTCCCTGCTCGCTGCCCTGCTCCATCTAACCACTCCTTGGGACTTTCCCCAAGTCCAGCTGAGCTCCTGGGAGACTGTGCTGACAGCATTTAGAGCCTAGAGGAGGTGGGAGTGGAGCCAATGACCGCACCCCCTCCCTCCCTGAGGGTTCCCAGGGTGAAGAAGCTCAGCCATCTTCCCTGGCAGTGCCGAATCTGCCCGTGGGCCACCGCCAATCCCCTCCCTGCTGTAATGGACATGTCGTTCTCGCTTCTCCTCCTCAGGGGCTCCCTTTATTTGCTCGGCCTACTGAGCAGATGCCAAGCTCATCCCCAGAGGCCGCAGCAGTTTGGAGGCAGGTAAATGAAACGAGCTCCGGATCGGGAGTGGGACAGTCCGGGTGCCGGGGCAGCTGGCTTCCTAAGCCTGCACAGCTGGCGGGCAGGAATGCCCACGCTCACGCGCGTTTGGTGAGGCTGATGAAAGCGTGCGGAGACCCTTTATACCCAGGACGCATCTCCATACCACCAACAGAGAAGCCGTTTGAGGGAACATTCTTTGTGCCCATCGTTCCTTCAGAGCGCAGGGACGGGGGGGGGGGGGCGGGGGGGCGCCGGGAAGGCCCATCACATGCAGACATTCGGCAAAACTCTAAGGCGAATCAGACCTGCTCAGCTAAATGGAGAAGAATCCACGAACAGTCAAAATTTTTTACAAACTGTCTGTGGCATGGATGCCCGGAGCACATTTATGAGAGAAAGTCACACTTCAAAGGGAGGTCTCTGTGGAATGAGACTGAAATTGGGGGTGGGAATTGGGAGGAAGCGGTGTGAAGGGCTGGAGGGGGTGCGCACATGGCCCGGGGGAGGGGGAGAGGTAGGCGGGGACACCGATCGAGGACTAGGACAAGGGGCTCTACCTTCCTTAGGGTTTCAAGGCTGCACCTTCCCCTTTTCTGGAATATTCCCCTAGATGTCCAACTGACTCTGTTCCTCCCTCCATTCACATCTCTGCTCAAATGCCCCTTTCTCAGAGGCCTGCCCCGACCACCGTTCACAAAAGGGCATCGCGCTCCCCGCCATTTCTCTGCAGCATGACGTTCATTGCGCGAGGGCAGGGACTTAGCTCGTTTTGTTCACTGCTGGATCAGGAACTCAGAGCAGTGCCTGGTACAGAGCAGACTTTGCACAGATATACAGTTGTCGCATTAGATGAGTGATCAGGCAGCAGCAAGCTACTCAAGGTTTACACCAATACTGACTGTCGTAACAGCAATCTTGGCATTAACAGATGGTGACTCGTATGCCCTCACTGACCTCACTGACCTAGACGGTGACGCGAGCCCTGGCTGGGCCCAAGGGAGACCAGAATAGCAGGGCGGTTGTGACACCTGCCAATAAGAATAAAGATGCCTGCCTCTCCCCTGGAGCCCAGCGGGGTCAGTCCCTCGGAGGAGGCCCCTCGGCACCCCCATCTGTGCTGTGTGCCCCGGACCCTGGCTCAGGCTTGGAACCTGGGACTGTGGCTGGAGTCAGGACCTGGGCTCCTCAGGAATGACCTAGAATTTTGAAATTCTGCCTTGACAACATAGCTCTTGAGTTGGCTTAGTCAGGAACTGGGGACCCACAGGTCCCTTACGGAACTCTGAACCTCAGAAGAATGTCCCCAACCTTCCATCCAAGACAGGAAAGAGATCCAGCCCCCAGGGATGACAGAGGCGAGCCTCAAGTCCCCAAATCCAGGAGCCTAGCAGCCACATCACTAGAAGCCAGGCCACATTGCCAGCCAGGCTGTCCCGTTCACGCCTGCATCGGAGGAACCCAGTGGAAAAAAGCGTGGGCCCAGAGGACTGTGGAAGGTAGTGGCCCAGGGGTCAGCACAGAGGACCACTCCCTTCTTCCTCTGCTGGTGGGACCCCAGGGGCATGCCCATCATCTCTCCAGGCTTCTGGCCCTCCCACAGCTTCTAAAGGTGCGGGGAAACGCGGGCGCCCTAACCCTCCCGGCACAGACGTCATGCTTCATGCTGGGCCCTGGGAGGCAGGAGGCCCCACCAACCTTTTGTCACTCTGAGGCCATGGACACAGGGCTCACCTCTTGTCTGAGAAATGATGTCATCAGGCAGGGTGGTTGTGAGGTCTGTGCGAAAGCACTTAGCACTGCGTCCGCCCAGCACAGGCGCTCAGTGCAAGTCTGTGCCTTTCTTCCTTCCCTCAGCCGTGTTCAAGAGTGTTGGCCATTTCTCAGTGATTTCCCTGGGGGAGCCGGGAGTCACCAGGAACCTCCTTCCCCAGCCTGGCAGCCCCAAGGGCAGAGCCTTGTCCTGGTGTCACAATAATCTGCTGCACTGGGGACTCTCTACATGGGAAAATACTCAGGGTACTTGTTTAAAATTCAGATCCCTGAGCCCAGCCTGGAGCCACAGAGCCCTCCCTGCGTTTTAACAAGGCTCTTCGGTGACCACTGTTCTCTGAGTTGGGATCTCTGCCCCAGAGGCCGCATCTGGCGCTCCTGGACAGACTCTCCGCCGAGGTGCAAAGGTGCTAACTGCACCCAGGGCAGAAGTCTCAGAGGAGGGAAAAACCGGAAGGAAAAGGTGCTCAGCTTCTACCAGTAGAGGGGGCTGTGAGTCTTCACACCACCAGGCAGCACCACCTACACCACCCCCGCAATTCCAGACCGAAAGGATTTCTGAAGGCTCTCCCAAAGACCACACTTGGGTTTACAAACTGTGCATGTTTCACAGCTATATACTTCTTATCAGGCAATTTCACAGGCTGTCAGTGCTTAGTTCTCCTATTTCTCTTTCACCCACCGTGTCCTCAGCCCATGCTCTCTCCCTTGCCAAGAGGGCAGCAGACACAGGAAGGACAGAGACAGAGCAGAGCTCAGAGGGACCTTGGAGCCCCTCCCTGGCTCAGCCCACCTCTCCTGGACCAGGAGATGGCCTGGGAGGTGAAAGGACGTGTCCAGAGGGTGGGGAGCAAGAGCCTGTCCCTAGACGGGGGCCCGAAGGTAGCAGCAAAGTGATTTCCTCCCAGCTGACAAATCCAAGTGCACCAGGATTACTAGTGCCAACCCTTGGGGAGGCCCGCATGCTGTCAGGAGCCTGACCCTCTGGCACATAGAGTCCGAGTGACCTGGCTCCTAGGGACTGAGAGGAGGCATGAAGACAGCCCTGCTGGAAGAGAGAAGTCCCTGCTTCTTGCTCTGCCTTTGAGGAAAGGAAGCAGCAGGGAGAGAAAAGGTCTCATTAGGGACTTGAATTTCAGTCCCTCAGGATGCCCACCAGGTGGGCAGAGGCTATGCCGGGTGAGACCACTCTGTGTTTCTTCTAAAGAATGAAGAGGGACAGTGTGATCTTGCTGGGCACCCCTTCATGTGACTCTTGAGTTTGCTGCCCTCTCTCCCTCTTCCTCATTCCCTCTTCGGGTGTCGCACTCCCCCTGGGTGTCACTCTCGGGAGAGGCGCTTCCCCAGGGCACCGTCCAGGTCTGCCTGGCCGGCCGCTGAGCCCCATGCGAGTGGCGCGACTGCACAGAGGTTGTCCAAGTCATCCAGGCAGGGAACCGGGTGCTGAGAGACTCGTGAAAGGCAGCAAGAAGGGACAAGACAATGGGCTTTTCGTTTCTATGGAAACAGCATCTCAGAGTGAGGGGCTGAAGGGAGAGAAAGCTTCCACTTCACCTCCATCAGGACTTGAGAAATCGCCCCTTTTGTGGTTGGGCTTGCCCCTCCCCCTCCCTTCCCTGCCAGGTGTTCACCATGGCAACCCTGCCTCCAAAAAGAGGTGCAAAGCAGCAGCAGCAGCATCTGGTATTGGGGAAGCCAGGAAGTCCAGGGGAAATGGGACTGGGCCAGTCACCCTCTGCCCCAACAGGACACAGGCCCCTCCTTGCTCCAGGACTATTTACTGTGCCTAGGGACCACTAAATTCACCTCTCCAAGCCTCCACCCACCACCACCAAGGTCACTGTGAGGGCCAAGTGAGAGAGAAGGCACCTAGTGAAGGAGCTCAATAAATGCTTCGTGGCCAAATAGCGGCACCGCAGGGGCGCCACTGCTGCTGGGTCCACGTTCGCCGAGACTCACGAGCCTGTCCTAACTGTAAGGAGCACAGAGTGTGTCGAGCCCCGGGCGCGGCTGTGGAATGAGTGGAGGAGAAGGTTGAGATTCTTGCACTCAAGCCACTCACTATCAGGTCGCAGCTGGGGCTGTGGGTGATGTGGGAGTCCCAGAAGCGCTTGGGCTGCCCAGGGCACGGCCTGTGGGCCTGCCATCGTTACGTGGCTGGCCAGGGAGCCCGGCCTCAGTGCAGCAGGTCCCCATGGCCGCAGGGGAGACGTCCCCATGTGGAAGCCTTTCAGACTCAGATATGCTGACATGAGAAAAGGCACCAGCAGTAGTCCTGGCTGTCACCACCAGCGTCTGGAAAAGCCGCACTGGAAACTGCTCCAGAGAAAGAGAGAAAGGCCAGGACTTCTAGGGGATCCCAGAGAAACAACCAGAAGGATATCAGCACCAGGAACAATCTCTCCCACAGGTAAGCAGCACGGCAAACACCGCTCATCAAACAAACCCAGGGAGGGACAAAGTCAAACTGTTTACAACAGAAACAAGGAAAGTGGGTCAGGGCATTGGTGGGGCACAGGTGAGGGTGTGGTGTGTTTGACCAGCTTAGATCCTGATGACAAGGAACAAGCTTTGCTAGATCGGGCCCTCGGCGCAGAGGCAGGGCCGAGCCGCAGCCCTGCCACTTAGCCGCGCTGGGCCTCCGTGGCTTCATTTACAAAGGAGAAACTCTCCAAGCCTCTTGGTCAGACCACTCGGCGCCCAGCACTGTTGTGGCACCTCGGAGCCCCAGGACAGCCGGGCAAGGTGTGCGCCATCCTCCCCTTTCAGAGAAGGGGAGACAGAAGCTCGGGCGCTCAGGGGCTGCCCCAAGGCTGCGAGGCAGACGAAAGCCGGAGCAGCACGGGCAGCGAGGACTGTGGGACCCCACAGCCCGCTCTCTCCAGGCCAGCAAGCTGCCTTTCTGGGGGGACGAGGCAGAGCCAGAGCAACGCTGGCCCGAGCTGGGGGGCTCACCTGAGGCGGCAGTACCAGAGCTGTCGTTGGGCCGCTTTCCTGCTATAAACTCCATTTCAGGAAAGCACTCAGTGGAGAGGGAGCTGGACGTGCCGTTGGGCGCTGCAGGCCTCTTGGCCCGGCGACTGAAGACCCTGTAGCTAAAGCGCTTGACCTCCCTGGCTGGGGCGGCCTCCCCGTTGGCAGCTTCTCCCTTGCCATTTCGGGCAAGTGCCTCTCGGGGCTTGAGGTCCACATGCAGGTGAGAGACCATCTTGACATCCTTGCGATTCAGCTCTTTCAGCTCTCCCGAGGGTATGGGCTCCACAGGGGGCAGCACCTGCTCCAGCGTGAACAAGTCGTTCAGGAAGCTCTCCAGTCGCCGGGCGGACTCGCCTCTGCTGCCCTCCTCCTGCCCCTCTGGGCTGCCGCCAGCCTCCCGCTGCTGCCGGGCAGCCCAGCGCATCATCTCCCCTGGCGGGGGGCGGCTGCCGGCCACCAGGGCGTACTTGGGGTTGATAAGTTTGCGAGCCACCGTGGAGGAGTGAAGTCCGCTCCTGCCTGCACCCCCCGCCAGGCCCAGCAGCTGGTACAAGTTCACCTCCTCAGAGATGGCGTACAGTTCCCGGAACTCCACGTCGAAGGGCTCCACGTTCTGCCCTGTCAGGAGGAGGAGGAGGTTCCTGTCCATGTAGGAGGCACTCCAGGTGAACCTGGGAATGTGGGGACAGAAAAGCAAGACTCATGTGCCCAGGCCAGTGACCTTGCCTCGCCAGCAGGCCCTGGGCAAGCCCATCTCAACGCCCTGCGCCCTCCGCCCCTGCCTGATCTACCACCGAGGCTGGATGCCTTGCTTCTTGGTGGAAGGCACTGCTGGGCCCTCGCATTGGGGTGCTGTCCCTCCACTGACCCAATCCTCCCTTTTTCCCAGGTCTTGGCCTCAAATGCAGAAGGCGGGCAGGGGGTGCAAGGCAAGAACACGAGAAGTCAGGCCGGGATTCAAGCCTGGTTTCTACCCTGTGTGCCTTGAAAACCGGGCTCACAGGGCATACAGTCCCAGAGCTGCTGTGAGGCTCGAGTGGGATAATATGTAGTAAATGTTTAGCTCGGTAGCTGGCACAATGCACACATTTAGTAAATAGTCCCTGTAGCTGCTACTATTATTAATATCATCCCATTCCTTATTGGTTGTCTGCTGAACTTTTAGAGCACTGAGTGTCTGCGAAACCCCGTATTTTAACAATGTCAGAGGATTTATGTCATTTATAATTGTTTCGGGTGCCCAGGTCTCTTTTCTGCACCGAGATTTTAATTTATGTGATCATGTCCCTGGTAACTTACTGCTGAGTCGGAATTCAGGAGACATTCCTTCTACACCGCACCCTCACATTTCTTTCCCAGATCTGGTCCATTCTGCTTCCTGCTTGTCCCGCCCAACAACTAGCCTCAAAATACAACCATTTGCCCTGACCAGTGTGGCTCAGTTAGTTGAGCTTTGCCCTGCAAACCAAAAGGTTGTCGGTTCAATTCCCAGTCAGGACACAGGCTTGGGTTGCAGGTTCACTTTCTAGTCATAGCGCAGCCAGTCGATATTTCTCTCTCACATCAATGTTTCTCTCCCTCTCTTCCTCCCTCCCTTCCCCTCTCTCTAAAGTTAAGAATAAAATAAAATTTTAAAAAGCAACTATTTGTTGTGGACCATGAAAAGCAACCCGCGCTTAATGTTTAGCAAAAGGTGACCCTCTTTCTGGAATAATCCAGTAGCCACAAAATTTGAGGGAAGGGACTGGGCAGGAGGTTCTTTGCCATTGGGTCAGACGATACCTCTTACACCCACAACCACAGAGGTTCCAGCCCAGCATTCTCCTGAATAGGAACATTTCTTACAATGAATAAAGGCCTCCCAGGCCCTTCTCTGACCTGGCCCAACTTACCTGTAAGATCCTGTGGCTACTTTTTCACCATCTACCATTAAGAACCTGGATGACAGAGTCCCCTTGATCTTGCCCATGGGCATGTAGAAGCCAACGCCTGTCACAGAACGGACACGGATGTTCTGTTGAGAAGAGGAGAAGGTACTGTCACCCAGATTCGGTCCGGCAAGGCTCTGAGTCAAGTCTTTGCTGGGGCCGAGAAGGAGCCCTCTTATCCCCAGGACCATGCCTGCTGGCTCCTGTCTGTGCTAAACTCTGCTCTCCACGGCCTTACAGGTAGGACCCCATTGAGGGAGCCGGGGGAAGTCAGCAAACCTTGCTTTGGGTGTGGATGAGCTCTGGGTGGTTCCGGCCTGCTCCCAAAGCTCCCCAGAAGAGAAACACAGCCCTAGCTTTGACCTTGGACTGCAGGCTGACCACCCCAGGGCTGGGCCAGATCTGCCTCCTTAACCTCAACAGCCTGTGTTAAAATTTAAGATTGGCGTGTAATTTAGGGTTATCAAGGCATGAGACAAGGTTTCAGACAGAAGGGGTTGAGATCCTGATGCTCCTCTGAGGCCCTCAGCTGGAGAAGAGGCAGAGAAAGGGGCAGGGGCAGTCTCCGTCGCAGGTCCTGCTCCTCCAACCCCCACAGCGGTGCAACTCACCCGGACGCGGAAGTCGGCGAGCTCCAGGCCCTGGCACATCTCCAGGAAGCACTTCACGCCTGCCTCGTCCAGGATGATGTACACGGGGACCCGGCGCTTAAAGGCAGCATCCACAATGTCTTGGAAGATATCGCCATCGGTGAAGAGGTCCATGACCACAGCGATGACCTGGGTGGGGAAGGGCACTGGTGAGGCGCATGGTGACTACGCACTTACAGACACGCACCTTGGCCCAGAGAGGACTGGCTGGGCCCGGGGTAACTGGTGGCCAAGAGTCAACAACCCCACCTGCACCTCTCCTGGGTTCTCCACATCCTCACCCATGTGTGGGCACATCTGAGCCCAGGAGATGGGCTCTCTGCTCTGGGAAACGCCTGAGGACTCGGGCCATCCCTCACGAACCCGCCACTCCCGCCTCAGGATTTTCCCACAGCTCTTCAGAGGCCTTGGTCAGGGGAGATCTAGGAGGCTGAGGACACCTGCTCGTGGTGCCCTGCGGAGACAGGCAGGCTCAGGAAGCTGTGATCACGAGAGGCAGGGAAGGGACTCCTTTCCGCAGGCTGCAGATCTGCTGTGACACCGCTTTCACGGCAGATGCTTTGATCTCCCTGCAGGCTCCCTAAGGGCAAAGCTAAGGGGAAAAGCCCTGTGGTTCCCAAAGGGCCGATCTGGGCAGAGTCCCTGTGAGCTTGGACTCAGCAGGCCTCCAGGTGTCCAGACCACCCCACTCCATCCTCAAATCAAGGCCACTGCCTAGGACCCTTGATTTCCAAAGTCAGCCCTGGTTATCCACATTGGAAGGCAGGGTCTGCCTTTCTGACCGTAGCTTCCACCATTTTCCCACACAACTGCCCTGCCTGGCTCAGCTCCAGTGCAAGTGTAATGGGGCACAGCCAGGCCCCCCCCCGCCCCCCACCAAAGGGTATTTTGTAATGGAATCCAGAGATTGGGGTGTCCAAGAAAAATATATTCTCCCCACCCCAGGGCAGACCGCCATGGGGGATGGGAGCCTGGAGCAGGGCCATTGAGAAGTCAGTTTGCATGTCAATAACAGGATAGCTTTGCTCCTTATTTGCAAAGAGGATTATTTGGCATATCACCAAAACTAATCAGGAAGGTTTAAAAGACTTAATACAGAACAGTAGCTGGGGGTAGACAGGGGCCTGCAGGAGAGAGAAAGGGACACAGACTCTGGGGAACAACATGTGAAGACCACGTGGGAAGAAAGAGGGGAGAAAGGACTCTTGCTAGTGGGCCAGGAGAAGGTGCCACATGGTTGTGGATTAAGAACTGGAGATCACAGCGACGCAGCGGATGGTGCTGAGATCCGTGAGAGGCCTGCCCAGCCGAGCCCCGGACTTCTGTTCTTTTTCTTCTGAAGGACAGTAACCCTGACTGGCCTGACTGGCCTGACTGGGCAAAGGGGGGAAGGCAGGACGGTGTGTGTGCTGGTGGTTGTTTTGAAGGGATTTTGAGGTGTAAGGGTGACATTTAGCCATTAATCAAACCTGTATAACTTTTGAATAAATAGTTCCTTTCCTTTTCACCAAACTCTGCCATTCAGAGCCCTAATTCCAAGGGTGGCGGGCAAAGGACCCACAACCGAGGGGTCCCAGGGAAGGAAGGTGTTGTTTCGGTAATAGCATCAGGGCACCTCGCCACGGGTCCTTTCGTTAGGTAACACAAGGGTTTTCCTGTTGGCCCCAAACAATGTGCATGTGATACAGAAGGAAGAAAAGGCAGGCCTTAGGGTCAGAGAGACCTGGTTATGTGACCCTTCCATTTCTGTGACCTTAGGCAAGTCACTTAATCTTGATGAGCCTTCTTATCTGCAAAGTGGAATACCTAGTGCTTTGACTATTAAGATTACAGATGAAGTCAGTCTGTGAAGCATCTGAAGCAGCCCCTGGACCAGTGCGAGTCCTCAGTAAGCGATGGCTGCTGTGCGGCTGAGGCGTCTGCTAGTCATTGCAGCTGAAAGCCTGAACTCTGAAGTCAGGCAGACGAGGCCTGGGACCAACTCACTGCTGACTTGCCAGAGCCCTTGTTTCCTTGGCAGCAAAATGGAGCTCATAGAAGCACCGATCTCAAAGGGCTGTGGTGAGGGCTTAGAGAGGTAAACTGTGGAAGCACCTAACACAGTGCCGGGCCCTTGGTAAGCTCAGCAAGTGAGCTTACCTGGCCCCCATGCCATCGCCATCATTTTCATCACCACCTTCACACACGTGCCTCACCTTTACCCCTGCCTCTGAAGAACCGCGCCCAACACCATTTGCACAATATTATTTAAGGCTCTTCTTAGCTCCTATATTTAATACTCATGCATTCATATAAATAACATTTACTGAGCTGCCCAGTCAGAGGGAGGATCCAAAGACAAGCTATAATCCCTAACTTTAAGGGATTAATCCAGTTGGAAGAATAAGGCACTTGCACAAAATAAGACCCAAGGTAAAATGAAAGGAATGCCTGTAAGAGATGCACAAATGGCATGTGATATGAATTCAGGGATTCAGGGGTGCGAAGAAAAGGAGAGATGGAGGGAGAGAGATCGATTCCTCTCCGCTGGGGTAGAACAAGGAAGGCTTCAGTGAGGAAGCTGAAGCTCTAATGATGGGCACTGTGGGGCACCGTGGGGCACCGTGGGAAGTGAGCAGAGAAGGAAGCGGAGCAGGAAGTGGGCAGGGCAGCCACGCAGGGGTCTGCAGGTTGTGCGCTACACATGTGCACTGGGCTGAGGGGTGAGCGGAAGCTGTGCCTGCCTGAGAAGGGGGCAACTTTTCTAACCTGCACACAGGTGCCACATGGGCTAGCGGGCGCCAAGGAGGTGGGCATTTCAGACACAGGATACAGTAAAAAGGCCCTGAGGACAGGGATTAAATGGAATACTTTTAATGTGCCTCCTATTGTTCCAGGTGCTTTAGGTAAATTTTCGCATTTGATCCTCAGAAGGAGGATTATAGTTTCCATTTTATGGATGAGGATGTAAATGCAAAGGGGCAAAGTAATGTGTCCAAGGTCACACCACATGTAGCAGAACAGGGATTTGAACTCAGGTCTGACTGACTCCACAGTCTTCATTTCACTGCATCATACTGGCTTACAGAGATGGGACAGGTAAAGTTTAAACAAGATCAACAAACTTCTAGCAAGACTGACAAAAACAGGATGTACAGATAAAATACTGAGTGAAAAGAGATACAACTACAGACAGATTCACTTTTAAGAAATTCTTACTTTTTAAGAAATAGTAAAAATGGTAAAAAGAATTTATACATTGATGAATTTGAAAATAAAAATGATATGGATAATCATTAAATGTGAATTAATCATAATATAGTATAATCAAGTAAGGTTTATCCTAGGGATGTAAGAATGGTTCAACATCAGAAAATGTCTCATTTTAATTTATAACACTTATGGTGTCAAGGAGAGAAGATACATTATCTTAATAAGTTTTAAAAAGTATTTGATAATACTTGATCTCTATTTATGATTAAAATTCTCAAAAAACTAAGGAACCTTAACAGAGAAACTTTAGATGCAATCCCTTTAAGTATCAAGCAAGTCAAACGTACTATCACCACTGCTATTTAACAAAGTATTGGAAGTCTGAACCAATGTAATATGACAAGAAAAGAACTAAGAGCCAGAGGATTAGAACAAACAAAACTACCAGTATTTAGAGATGATATTGTTATAGAAAACCTAGCACAATGCAGAAAAAAAAACTACTAAAATTAATAAGAGAATTCAGAAAGATTGCCAGATATAAGAAAAACTTACAAAAACCAATTGCATTCTTTTACTCAGAAAATCAACTACAAAAGGGAGAAAGAAAGAAAATGGATCCATTCAAAATTGCTACTTAAGCACATAGTATTTAGGAATTAGTACCTTTATGGAGAAATTTAAAAAACTCTATTAAAACACCTTTTCAAATTAGTGAATAAAAGAAGAGATAAATCATGTGCATGGTTATTATGAGTTGACATTTTAAAAGCCCAATTCTCCCATATTAATAAAATCCAATGCAATTCCAATAAAAGTTCAATAAATATTTTTGAGAAACCCAAACACTTCTAAGATGTGGGGAAGAATAAAGATTTTGAAAAAGAAAAGATTAAAGGGGACACTTGCCCTACCAGACAGTAAGACATACTGCAGAGCCACAGTAGTAAGAATTGTGGTATTGAGGTAGGAAGGAACTGACAGACTAAAAAAACAGAATGGAGGGACCAGAAACATATATGTACCTATACACAGGCATAAAACTTTAAGTCACATAGAGGCAGAATCACAACTTAGTGGAGAAAGGATCCTGTTTTGTAGATGCTATGAGGAAAACTGGCATAGTATATACAGAAAAGTAAAGTGGATCCCTACCTCACCCCATATATAAAGGTGAATTTCAGGTAGGCTAAATACCTAAATGTGCAAGATAAAACTAATAAGGGAATTGATGAAATGTAGGAAAATATTTTCATGACATAGATAAGAAGGATTTCTTAAGATCCCCAAAGCACAAATCATAAGGCAAATAAAATTTTAAAACGATGCATCCCATAACTTAGGAATTTTCTGTTCAAAGAATGATATCATAGACAAAGGTAACTGAAAGGTAACAGGGAGAAAGTCTCTTCAATGTCTACAAGCAAAAGGAATTAATAATATAAAAGGGATCCCTGCAAAATTAAAAGAGTTTTTTTAATTTATTGATTTTAGAGAGAGAGGAAGGGGGAAGGAGAGAGGGAAACATTGTTCCACTTATTTATGCATTCTTTGGTTGAGTCTTGTGTGTACCCTCACGGGGGATTGAACTCACGACCTTGACGTATTGGGATGACACTCTAACAACTAAGCTACCCAGCCAGGGCTGGGATCCCTGCAAATTGGCAAGAAAAAGACAGGAAGCTAATTAGGAAAATGGGCAAAGGATGTGAATAGGCAATTCCTAGAGGAGATACCTGAATGGCTAATAAGTATATAAAGAGAAGCAGACATCATTAGCATTAAGAAAAATTCAAATTAAAGCTAAGAAATGAAAAAGGGACCTTCATTCACTGCTGGTGGGAGGGAACACTGGGGCAGCTATTCCAGCAAGGGAGAGATCTTACGGATTTAAGGATGTGCCTTCCTACAGTCAGCAATGCCGCTCTTGGCCCTGC